TGATTCAATCAACTCCCAATATTCCCAACATGCTGAGCATAAATGTAACCATTGCCTGAAGCTTCTCCAAAGTTTTGGATAATCATGATGAAAAAAATCCAAATAATAAAGAACGCATCTGAAAGTGCAACTGGTAACACCAGAAAGAGTCCTGATTTTCCAGCAAAGTCACTGATATTACTGTTGTCGATTTTTATATCTCGCACATGTACGGATTGTATCAAGTAATAAAGTGGATCAATGAGTTCGAATATCGTTCACACGTGTTCTATTATCTAACAATTGGTCAAATTATTGCTAACTTTAATTTGATCGAAAACTAATAATAAAGTTTGTGATTGGTGTCTAATTATTATAATTAAACTTAATTATCTACCTACACAATTTATTGAAGTTTGGTTTTGAAAGTACGAATATGGATGCTATGACTTACAATTTTATCTATGGATCATTATTAATTCGTCAGTCAAGATTCATTACTATTGTAGTGTTTGGTCGAATTCTTCTAAAGGATTCAATTTACCCATCTCGAGTTCTCATGGAGTCTATTTAACTAATTCAATTTCATATCTCTATATGATCAATCTTAGTTAAATGAAGTATTAGTTCTAAAAATTCATCTAATGACTGTAATAATTAGTATATGTATCTCTACACGTCATAATAAATTATCGGATTTTACCGTGTGATTTATATCTAAAACTAACATTTCGATTTGTAATAGATTCACAAAATCATTGAATAATTGACCAAAGAATTCAAAGCATTAAATTCATAAATAAAGTCAACACATATACATTTAAAGAATTAGAATTTTGAATAAAAGAAAGAAAGGGTCACACATAGATTACATTGATCGCCCTAACTATGAATTTAACTACTCATAATAATTTAAAAAAAAAGTATAAAGTTCATAACCAGGTTTTGAAATTTTGATTGTGAAAAGAATTTGATCTTGCTTCATGAATCTTCTTCAAACTTAAAAGTTTTAAACCCGATCTTTTACTCTTTGATCTCGACGAAACTGTGTTTTTCTCCCCCCAAATTGTATGGAACTCCCTTAAAAGTTTCAAAAACTTGTACTTTTTCTTTTCCCCACGTTTGTGTCCAATGTAGGGTTTTTATGGGTTTCAAAACAGGTCAAAAAAGCACCCTAAACACACCTGGGTTGCGCCTCGACGCATGGGATGGGCGCCGTAATGACAGAATGGTGGCGTTGGTAAAATTTTATACTACACTTCTTTTAGTATTTTTATCATAATTTTTTCTCTCGATATCCGATTGAGGCGATTCAAATTGGGTTGTAAAAATAACTCAAAGGGATACAAATTTACTAGAATTCGATGTTTTCCAATTCGAACGTTTACCAAAGCAAAAATGGGTATCAATTTTCGACTAAAAATCTGGAATATCCTTGTGCGACCGAAAATTGATTTGTGAAATATTTTGATCATATTTCACTCTTTTTGACTTCTAATTGCATCCAATTGACCTCTATCATTCTCAAATCTTCATCGTGAGT